ATTTGACTTTGAAATATGACTGATAATCGAGTTGAATTTTTGCGAGTTTAAATTAAGTCGATCGAGCTTGTTTTTCTAAATTAATTTAAAAAATTATTCAAACTTGACTCGTTCTACTCGTTTAGAAAAACGAGCCGAATTTAAACAAAGTCTAATATGAACTGAGTCCGAGTAGTTCAACTATTTTATATATAAACGAGTTTAAAAATTATTGAAGATCGATTTTTTTAGAAAACCAATCAAACCCAAAATAAATCAAATCTGAATAATTCGGTTCAATTATCAGTCTTACCTTGAACCTATCCTACAAAATAAATCGTGGATATTTTCAATTGTCTATAAATCATAAGAATCGATTACACTCAAAAAATACTTGTTCAATTTAAATATAAGACGCCCGAAATTATGATTAATTCTAAGTCTAATCTCATATGACTAACTTATCAATGCAGATTTCACTCTTTTTAGATCCTATAAAGGGGCAACAGGACCTTGATAGTCCGTTGATTGTCAATAAGGTACGTATTTGTATACGATAGATAGAAGGTACGAATATTTCGAGTCAAATAAAGTATGTGTTCTTATTAGATATTTAATAAGTGACGACATCCGCATTGTTTCAATTTTTATAATCTTTTTATAATTGATCTCTAATTTTATCTTCAAGGTTAATTTAGCCCATAAATTTTTATTTATTTCAATTTAGTTCCTCAAATATCAATTTCATCTTCATGGCCTAGTGGACCATTGGACTAACAGGTCAGTCTAAAGGTGGCAAATAGGTTGGTTGGGTTGGGTTGGTTATGAGTTAGATTAAATTAGATTGAATTAAAATAAATTTAATTTATTTTTCACTCACGTAGTAAATGAGTTAAAATGTGTTGGGTTTATAACAGGTTGGGTTAAACTAATTAACCCATAAAATAATTAAAATTTTTAATAAACATAATAATACATCAAAATACACACACACACATTAGTAATATACCAAAAAATAAACATACACACTAATACACCAAAATACACACAAACTAATATACTAAAAATATACACACTAATACAGTAAAAATATACATTAATACAACAAAATACACACGCATATATAAACACATTTAATAAAAAAAAATATACACATAATAGGTTGGGGTCGATTGTGGGCTTTGAGTTGGTCTGTGGGTTATGGGTCAACCCATGGGGTCGTGGGTCAACATGTGGGTCATGGCGTGTTGTATTAGTGTGTGTTTTTAGTGTACTAGTGTGTATATATTTTGGTGTATTAGTGTATATGTGTGTATTTTTTGATATATAAGTATATTTATTTAATTTTATTACTTGTGTTATTTAATAAAAAAATAAACATTCAACCCAATGGGTACCCATTTATAATTCATATTAACCCATTTAATTAAAATGAATCATATTACACAACCTATTTAGAACTCATATTAATTAACTAGTTATTCTTGTGTCTGAAGGCTCGGAGTAATAAAAAAAAATGGTCAACGATAAATATATTTGTATTCACACCTAAAATCAAATTACAAAGATAGAAGAAAAAAAAATAAATTTTAAATACCGATTATGGTGGGGGCGACCAGTAGTGGGCGACAGTTGAAATGGTGAGAATCAGTGACAGTTGTGATGGGTGATGATTACCGTTGTTGATGGTGGTAGTTGTGCAACAGTGACAACGGTGATGAGGCGATGAAGATGGTAGGAGTGATGGTAGAACAGTGGTGGTAATGGTAAGGCGACGATAGTGGTAGTGATAGTGAGATAATAGCGGTGGTGATAAGGTGGCGACAACGATAGTAGTAGTAATGATGGTGATGGAGGCTAGTAGTGATAGTGGGGCGATGGTGGTGGTTGTTGGTGAAGAGGTGGGTGATGGGGTAGCTGCTATAGTGGTGATGGGGTGAAGGTAGGGTGGCGACAATGAGAATCGTGACAACAATAGTAATGGTGGTAATTGTTATAGTAGAGATGGTGGTGGTGGTATTGGTGGGGGTGGAGCGGTTCCAAAACAATATTTTTGTTTTCAAAGTACTTATGAGAAGTTATAAAATCTAGAAACATTTTTAAAAAGTTACTCAAACATACTCTTAGGGTCTATTTTCCTATTAAATTTAGGGTGTTAATATTAATCGACGGATTAACTTTAAAATAAAATTTAAAGAGATCTCATCCTCGAAAAGTAAAAGTCATTATGTTTATCTTTTGAAATTTGAATTGTATTGCATTTTATTATATAGATATAAGTACTCAACCCACTTATTTATGGACGAGTTGAGCGGATTAATGAATAATGGGTTAAGATTGTCACCTCTAGGCCAGCTCATAATGCGATGACACATCATCCTATCACTTTTCCCTTTTGTTTTTAACAATTTCAAATTTGTTATTTCTGCTGATGTCGAAACAATTTTTATACATTGGCAGGCATAAGTTAGTTATTGATCAATCTGTAATGCTCCATCTGATAGGAAAGATGAAAAATATGAGAGATACATTTTTTATCCTTCAAGGAAGAAAAATAGGAATGATACACTTTCCTTACTTCATATTTAGTTGGATGAATGAAAAATAAAAATAACTAATTTTTTTTTATGATGGCTAAGATTAAGGGTGACAATTGAGTCGTGTTAGATTCGTATTGAGTCATTACGGATTTATGTCGAACATTAGTCAAACCTAACTCAACTCATTTAACTAATTGTGTTGTGTCGAGTTGCGAATTGACTTATTTATTTTCGTGTCGTGTTCGTGTTCGTGTTCGTTCTCGTGTTCGTGTTCATGTTCGTATTCGTATTGGTGTTGACCCATATAAACTTTGAATAAAAAATTTAACGTTAATATTTTATTTTCACTCAAATAAATCCATGTTAATATTTTTTTACAAACTAAAAATTAACATGTTAATATTTTTTCTACAAACTAAAAATTAACTTAAATAAATATAATAATAATAAGTAAAAATATCTTTTTATATAATAATTATGTCAGTACTTAATAAATAGTTACAAATAATTAATATTTTACATTTATAATATTAGTTAAACATATTAGTTTCGTGTTAATTTTGTGTTACCATACAAACGAGAAAATAGAGAAAATATTTATTTTTAAATAAACGCGTTAATGATGTTAATTTTGAGTTTGACTAGTTAAACTGAATATGAACATTTTATATTTCTTTTTTGCGTGTCAGGTCATTTTTAAGTTCATGTCAATATATAATCAAGTTTATATCATAAAATTCGTATTGAATTCGAGTCGTGTTATCGTGTTGAGTCAAATTTTTTTATCTCTAGTTAAGATGAAATTTTTTTTTAATTTTTTTAAACTATATATATATATATATATATATATTATAAATACATATTTTATAATTATATTTTTATATGAAATTAATGTATACATAATATATGTATATATATCATGTGCGTGCAAGATCCTGCACAATATAAAAAACGAGAACAGATCTCTCCCTTGGTGAACTCGAGTGAGCCGGTTGAGTGACCAAACACGCTGCTTGGAACAGCCTGCGAGGTCCGGTGGTAACCTGGAACGGCAATGGGAGACCCTGGCAACGGAAGAACGATCTAGTAAGGCTGAAAGAGGTTCCTGGAACAAAGAAGAACAAGTTAGAAGGGCGCCGGAGTGTTTTCCGGCGTATCCCCTCCGACGATCTAGTCAGTCTTTGAGAGAGAGAGAGGAAGGAGAAAACACTGAGTGTGTAATGTAGTAAAGAGTTTTTTGTTGCATACCAGTCTTGCCTTTTGCAAGGAGTATTTATACCTCAAAATCTCATGATTGCTGTCAGTGTAGTCAGTAGATGATCATTAGGTACAGGCAGTGTGCGCACTGAATCTGATGAGAAATGTCTTCTCTTCTTAACTGCTCGGGGTCCCTAGCAATCAATGCTGGGTCATCGGGATGCTNTAACTTAAATAAATATAATAATAATAAGTAAAAATATCTTTTTATATAATAATTATGTCAGTACTTAATAAATAGTTACAAATAATTAATATTTTACATTTATAATATTAGTTAAACATATTAGTTTCGTGTTAATTTTGTGTTACCATACAAACGAGAAAATAGAGAAAATATTTATTTTTAAATAAACGCGTTAATGATGTTAATTTTGAGTTTGACTAGTTAAACTGAATATGAACATTTTATATTTCTTTTTTGCGTGTCAGGTCATTTTTAAGTTCATGTCAATATATAATCAAGTTTATATCATAAAATTCGTATTGAATTCGAGTCGTGTTATCGTGTTGAGTCAAATTTTTTTATCTCTAGTTAAGATGAAATTTTTTTTTAATTTTTTTAAACTATATATATATATATATATATATATTATAAATACATATTTTATAATTATATTTTTATATGAAATTAATGTATACATAATATATGTATATATATCATGTGCGTGCAAGATCCTGCACAATATAAAAAACGAGAACAGATCTCTCCCTTGGTGAACTCGAGTGAGCCGGTTGAGTGACCAA